CCAAATGATCATTTGATGAGTTTTTCAAATTCAAAATATTTTTAGAAACTCTAATAGAAATTGTGTGGTACATATTCAATCAAGATTAACCATATACTTGACTATATCATAGAATTTCGATCGAGTCTTTCAAGTTATGAATTGACTAGAGTACTACTTGGATTTAGAAGTGTAAATAATTTTCATTCAAATTTCGCCCAACTTTAGAATATTGACTATAAGCCCATCATTTCAGGTCAAAAATCATAGAGCTGGTTGTAGAGGGTTTCGGCGAATGCATTCATATCAAATAAAGATGTACATGTCTCCTTTAGAGTTATGAGACGTCGCATGCGACGTTGCCACATCAAAGAGGCAAAGGAAAAGGGCAATAGGCTTGGGTTCGCATCAGATATGAATTATCTACTTTATAAGGGGCATGATATAAGTGGTGCAGTTGCATTTAACCCACATGGTCCCCCTCCCAAAGTCCTCCATGACCATGACTTTAATGGCAAAGAAGAAGCTTATGCCAATGAAGGGTTGCTGTTATTGTTGTTATTAGGGTTAGGGAAGATGTGGGTTTCTAACGGCACGTTGAGTTGGTGGTGGTCCACCTTGAGATTGGTGCTAATAATATCCATCAAAAATCAAAGAGCTTGATACTTCCATTGAAATTACAAGATATCGAAACCCAAAAAGTTGTGTATATATGTGTCCATCTCAAGCTTCCCATCATATTTATTGGGAAGTTAACATGATAGCTGATGGCTTAGCTCATTTGCATTTGGTTTGGGAATTTTTTATTTTTTGTTTACCATAAAGTTATGTTTGATATGCATGTATGGTTATAAGATTCGTCGTGGATGTTCGTTCTAAACTTTTTATTTTTTCAGAAAGAAAAAGAGTGTGACCAAGAGAGAGAAGAGGGGCAGGGTATAGGGAGATAGTGATTTGTTGTGGGATGGCAAAGAAAGATAGAATTATGAAAGAAGACAGAGGCAGTTGAGTTGGGGCTGGAAATTAATAATTGCAAAGCGAGTGAAGAGCATGCTGCCATGCACGAATGAAGCAGAGACTGGGTTTCTGGCAGAGAGAGAAGCCAGAGAGACTGGCGAAAATTATATCATTGAATTACTATATCTGATTAAACTCATGAAAATCCAGAGTCACAGGCTTTGATCAGAACCCTTAAAACCCTCTACAACAACATTGACTTAAGCTGAGCCTCTGTGTGTGAATGAATCTCAGGCACACACACATACACATGCAAGAAACAAGTACGTTTCTGCTGTAAAGGGGGGACATTAATTTTGAGCAACGAATGGTAAATGGGGGGATAAAAGAAGGTCGTACAAGAGAAGAAGAAAAAAAGAAAAGAAAAAAGTGTGTGGAAACATCAAACACGGATTTCTACTGGATCACACCTTAAAAAATGCTCATATATACGCTTTACATATTAAGATCCAAAGTTTAAAATTAAGGACCCAAAATCTTTTCATATCAGAAAATAGTTTTAATTTTGTTTCTAAGAACAAAGATACCATAAATCCAGAAGAAGAAAAAAAACATGTTTGGAGACCCTCACAAATGAGTCTCGAAGTCAAATGCTGGGAACCAAGACACCAACCTTGACCTCTAAACCTCTTACCTGAGTTTGTTTAACCTATACACAGATCCTGAGCACCGAACCCCAAAACTAAGCCGCTCAAGGCACCATATCTAGGATGTATGTTTGTGAATAGGCCAAGACCTAAAACCTCGACTCTAGCCTTTGGTTACTAGTTATCGAATTGCAGTGGAAGCTAAATAATTAACAATAATTGGAATTACATAAACTATATTATGAAGTGGACACCAAAAAATAATAACTGTCATGATCTTAAATATCACATACCAATTTATACTGGAATACTAATTCTTTCCATTTGTGTAATATCTGCTTAACATTTTGTGAGGACCACTTTTTACAGAATCCCTGCAACAGATATAAAACAGCCAACAAAGCTATAAAGAACCAACACCAACTACTAGTACCTGGTCCTGGAGAGAGAGTGAGAGAGAGAGAGTGACCAGTAAAGTAGGGTCATTTCTTTCTCTCCCAAACTTTTTACAAAATAAACTTACTAAGGAGGTGCCATGGTGACTGATGGGTACACGTACATGCAAGTGAGAAGAAGAGGCAGATCGCAGAGAAAAAGTGTTCTGAAGAATTTGGTAGGTGTGCAATGTTGAGCAGGTAAAGCCAATTATTATAACATTTATTTTGCATATATTATCAAGTATTACATATATGTACTAAGTACTTTTCTGATTTTTGCTTTCAAGAGAAATTTTGATAATTACTCTCTATACTTATAACGATTATAAAAAGATAACTGCATTTGTTTCCATAATATGAAAATAAGACCTATATATGCGATGACTTGTCAATTACAATCAGTCAGTATCATCTTACAAGACTATGATTTAGAAGTTAGTCTTCCTACGCTAACAGGGTTTACCCGGTAGAAAATGACATTAACTTACAGATTAGTGGTCTCAGGTTTGAAATCTCATGACATCTTGATAGTGTATGTGTGTGAGAAATTCCCCTCCCATTATAGTTTAGACTATTGCTTGTATGCTTGTAATATTAACATCATACTTAATGCTAAAGGCCATGTGTTATGCAGGACAAAAAATGAAGAAAATAGCTGCACTAATTAACTTGAAAATGATAATGTAGTTTTTTTTGAGAAAATTTAATCGCTTCTCTCTGAGAAAACTCTAAAGAAAAATCCCTAGCTGCTGCCCACTTTGGGAGTCGGCCACCACCCTTTCTTCTCCTCTCATCCCTCTGGAGTCTTTGTTTTTTGTTTTTTTATTTTGTTTTGTGATGTAGAAGTGTCGTCGCCATGATATAATTGCCGTCCTTTGGCCCACACATGGAAGGATTTGGCTCCAGTTCTCAGTATTTGATATATATTTGAAATTACGAAACGGGGATGATGCCAGGTTGCGTCGTGTTCGGGTTTAGCCAGTGCGACACTATGAGTTTAGCCGGTATGGCGCTATAGCTCTGTTGGTGTAGGTGGCTTGATACAAGCCATGATGTGTAAGTCACACATCGGAGAATACAACATTAATCTACAATTTAAATATAGGTGGTCTACTCCTGATTGCATTGAGGCCTTTTAAGTTAAAACCCCACACCTAAAGGTCCATTTGGTCTACTCTCACCCAAGGTATTGGACCTAGTTGGTTAAGGTGGGGATAATATCGGTGCATGGTTTGGATAGATAGTGAACTCCTATTGGGCTCATTGATACGACAATTGGTATCATAGCCTGGTTTGGCTATGACGCACTTGGTTCTAGGTAGAGCCATTACATGTTCAAGGAGGTGACTCAAGTAAAAATTCTTGGACCAGCGGAGAAAGGTGGAGAAAGCTAGTAGAGCAAAGGCTAGTGGAACAAAAGGCAAGGCTCAGGGAAATCCTAATGGCATCCAACCAGGTGGAGCAAAGGCTCCTAGCAAGGCTCAAGAAAATACTAGACATAGGTGGAGCAAGAGCTATTAGCGAGGCTCAAGAAAAATCCATGTCGGAAAAGGTGGAGTTGCAAGGGCTCACTCTTGAAAAAGTGCGTGTGTTGTGAACGGGTGAGTTACCTTGGCTTGTATCTCGCCAATGTGGAGATTATTGGTGTAAGTGGCTCGATACAAGCCATGATGTGTGTTAAGTTAGCTTTAGCAAGTTTGATTTTTAGCTTCCTTAGACAATAGTGTATTTGCTATTGTATTTATCCAAGCTCAAGTATAATTAGTCTAAGTTAGAATAGGTTGAAAGAGTTGATAGTGACTGAGACAAAGTGTGGCTGATTGCAACCTTGGCAAGGTAAAATCATGCATTGCAAATTTTAGGTTAGGTTGAGTAAATATGATGACTAGTCCTGTTCAAATATGTCTTGCTAATTTGATTCTTCAGTCCAAGTCGAAAGTCATAGTGTTGAGGAGAGCCTTCCCAATCAAAATGACAATGTTATCATTGGTCCTCTAAATCAAGGGCAAGAATGGTTTATGGCAATGCAAGATGAGCTAAATCAGTTTGTTAGGAATGATATTTGGTACCTTTTTCCTAGGCCATCACACTATAATGTTATAGGGACCAAGTGGATTTTCAAGAATAAAATTGATGAACAAGGAAATGCTGTAAGAAATAAGGCTAAGTTGGTTGCTCAAGGTTACACTCAAATGGAGGGAATTGATTTTGAGGAAAGCTTTGCCCAGTTGCAAGGTTAGAGTCAGTTAGTCTACTACTGGCCATTGCTTAGGTCAAACTCTTTCAAATGGATGTCAAAACTGTCTTCTTGAATGGAATTTTGAATGAAGAAGTATATGTTGAGCAACCAAAAGGTTTTGAAGATCCACATCATCCAAATGATTTTTTTAAATAGAAAAAAGCTCTCTATGGTTTGAAACAAGCCCCTAGAGCTTGATATGAGAGGTTATCCTCTCATCTTTTAGGAAATGGCTATGTTAGAGGGCCAGTTGACAAAACCTTGTTTGTGAAATAGTTCAAGAAAGATGTTCTGATTGCTCAAATATATGTGGATGATATTGTGGTTGGTTCAATCTCAGAGTTTCATGTACAAGAATTTATTCAAGTCGTGACTAGTGAGTTTGAAATGAGCCTTGTTGGTTAGCTTAACTACTTTCTAGGTCTTCAAATTAAACAAAGTCAAGATGAGATTTTATCTTAATCCAAATATGCCAAAAACTTGATCAAAAAGTTTGGTTTGAAATCTGCCAAAGTTGCTAGGACTCTAATGAGTACAAGTGCAAAGGTGCAAAGAGACTCAAGTGGGACAAGTGACACTTTATAGAAGCATGATAGGAAGTCTTCTTTACCGCACTGCTAGTTAACTTGACATAGCCTTTAGTGTAGGTGTATGTGCTAGATTGTAGAGTGATCCTAAGGAGTCTCACAAGTGCAAAGGTGCAAAGAGGCTCAAGTAGGACAAGTGACACTTTATAGAAGCATGATAGGAAGTCTTCTTTACCTCACTGCTAGTCGACTTGACATAGCCTTTAGTGTAGGTGTATGTGCTAGATTTCAGAGTGATTCCAAGAAGTCCCACTTGTTTGCAGTCAAGAGGATCATCAAGTATGTGAGTGGTACCACAAACTTTGGCTTGTGGTATACCTATGACACTAATTCTGACTTAGTTGGCTTTAGTGATGCAGATTGGGCTGGTTGTAGTGATGATAGAAAAAACACTTATAGGGAAGCTTTTTATGTTGGCAACAACCTTGTTGCATGGCATAACAAGAAACAAAATTATGTCTTTCTGTCTACTGCGAGGCAGAGTATGTGGCAGTTGAAAGTTGTTGCACATAGCTCCTTTTGATGAAACAAATGTTAAATAATTATGGTCTCTCTCAGTCATCTTTCTCATCTATTATGATAACATGAGTGCCATTAACATTTCAAAGAATCATGTGCAACACTCAAGAACAAAACACATTGATGTTAGGCACCATTTCATTAGAGATCTTGTGGAGAGCAAAACATTAACTTTGGAATTTATTCCTTCCTAGAAACAACTAGCAGACATTCTAATTAAAGCTCTGGATTTTCAAAAACATGTTGATCTTCGAAAATCCATTGGTTTATGCTCCATTGAATGATTAGCTACTCTGTCTATATACTTCAGCATTTTATTTTTTCTCCTACCAGTCTTAATACCTCTTCTCCTCCTACCAGTCCTTGCCCATCCATATCTCATTCTCAGAGGTCTATAACAGTTGGAAATGTTTCCAATTTTGCATCACCCAGAGCTATGAATTTCTTTCATTCTGTGGTGTCGAACAAGAAGTTTGTTCCTGAGCGTATTTACAACATTTAGGCTCTCCACGTTTGTGATTGGAACTGTGTTAATCAAATGATCAAATATTATCAATTGCAATCTCAATTATCTCTCTAGTGAGTATAATGCATCTATTGTTCATGAATTATATCATAATTTTCCTATCCAAATTGCTTTTACAAAGTCTCGTATATCTGTTAGAGACGTGTCCATCATGTTTACTCATGTTGTGATTCATAAGGTTTTAGAATTTAGTCCATGTCCTCGCACTAGCTATAATTATTATTTTGCTGTTGTCTCTCAATACTCTATTGAGCAGTTTCGGAGTCTTGCTTATGAAAATCCTTCCCTTCCTCTCACCAACAAAGGGTTTCCTAGGAAATCTTATTTGAAGCCTTTTTACAATTCCTTTGAGATTTTGTGAGTCATAATCTTCTACCCACTGCCAATAATTCCAATCTTACTCTTGGTGGATGTCAGTTGATGCTTGCTATGCTTAATAGAGACCCTGTTCCTTTTGGAGAGATCATATGTCACTCACTTCAGACCAAGACTGCTGGTCATGGAACAAAACACAAAGAGTCTCTTGTCTTTCCATGTATTATGTTGTCTGAAGGGAGTTGAAATGAACCCTAGTGATGTCTAGCATGAGGCACCTATTATTTATGACTTAGCCTCTATTGCTCTAAGTGACAAACTATCCACTCCTCAACTATCCAAAGCTTCGAGTGCCTCTACTTTTTCCTTTTCACATATTTCTATGGTGAAAATGACAATACAAGATCAAGCTTATGAGCTTATCTATTTGAGGAAGTTGGTTCCTTTTGTTATTGGTGCCCATTCTTCTTCGTCATCTTATCCATTTGGTACTCATGCTAATCTACATGATGCAGCTGTGGACACCATTGGGGATTTGGTTGTTGAAGACTTTGAAGATGACTTTGCGGAGACAAACTTTGATGGATCTAAAGCCTCTATGGAATTTTAGTTCTAAGCAATTGTCTTGACTTAATCTTATATTTTGCAGTTTATGCACTCTTGGGAGTAACTTTTGTAAAGGGTGCGCCATGGAGGTCTGCATATTTCCAAAATGAGATTTTTCAAAATCCACTTTGGTCATTTGAAATTTGCATCTAGAATAAAGGCTACATCATATCATTCTAGCTAGATCAAATTCATTGTTGGTTTCCTCAAGATGATGGTTTCTTGAAGAAATCGACCACTTTTGTTTGAATATATAGTTCATCGATTGTTACGATCCGAAGATGAGATACGGTGCCATGAGGTGAAAAAGCTGATGGACTAGCTGCCATTTTTCATGAAGAATTGTTTTTAGCTCAACTATGTTGGTGAAAAAAGGTTGCATAATGAGGTAGTGCTCTAGTCCTAAATGTACATAAGTTTGTTTGAGTTTGTGAATACCTTTATTGTAAGAATCTTGTTAACATAGTGGATTGCCTAGTCAGAAAGATGACCCCTAATTTTTCCCATTGGTGGGTTTCTGGGTAAACATGTTTGGTGTGAATCTCTGACATGATGATGAATGTTCACACACAATGCACCTTAGTTGTTGCTAGCACATGGGATGCCTAGATTGATGGGTCCTTTTAAGTGCTTAGGTTGTCGCTTAGGCTTGCAGGGGTATGAGACTTGTGTGTAATTGTGTGTGTTGATTGTTGTGTGTTCTTAGGTCTGTGACTAGTTATAGGCTAGTTATACATTTGTTAGAAATACTTTGTGTGTCAGATCTTTTGAGTAACTTGATTAGAGTTTAAATTTACCTCTTCCACCTAAGTACCAATTTCAATGTGTAAGTCCCACATGGGAGAATACAATAATAATCTATAGTTTAAATATAGGTGGTCCACTCATAATTGCACCGAGGCCTTTTAAGTTAAAACCCCACACACTTAGAGGTCCATTGGGCCTACTCCCATCCAAGGTATTGGACCTAGGTGGTTAAGGTGGGGAAAATATCGGTGCATGGTTTAGATAGGTAGTGAACTCTTATTGGGCCCGTTGATACAACAATTGGTTTCAGAGCCAGGTTCGGCTAAGACGCACTTGGTTCAATGTGAAACCATTGACATGTTCAAAGAGGAGAATCAGGTACAAATTCCTAGATTGGCCGATAAAGGTGGAATGGGTTAATGGAGCATAGGCTCAAGAAAATCCTAGGTGTAGATGAGTAAGGGCTCCTAGCGAGACTCAAGAAAAATCCTTGTCATAAGAGGTGGAGTTGTGGGGGCTTACTCTTGAAAAGTGCATGTATTGTGAACGGGCGGGTTACCTTGGCTTGGATCTCGCCAAGGTGGAGATTGTTACAGTTTAAATATAGATGGTCCACTCCTAATTGCACCGGGACCTTTTAAGTTAAAACCTTACACCTAAATGTCCATTGGGCCTACTCCCCCCCCAAGGTATTGGACCTAGGTGGTTAAGGTGGGGACAATATCGGTGCATGGTTTGGACATGTAGTGAACTCCTATTGGGCTCGTTGATATAAGAGGCTCTCTTTAGGTTGCTCGAGAGGATGTGGAGCCATGGTCCTGTTTCTTGTTTATTTGTCTAATAATTCCCATGAACTCTTTAGGAGTTTTATGTGGTTTGTTTTTTGTTTAGGATATTTTATTTCCTTTTGGCTTTTGACTTTCGATACCAATTTGCAGTTTTTTGTCGTTGCACGTCAAATCTTTATTGCAAGTGTGAGTACATGTGATGTTGCTGATTCGGGGATTTTAATCATTTTTTGGGTTGTGCATATTCTCTCTAGATCAATTCAACGTGTTGTTGCGTTTTGTAACTTGAGAAGTTGTATACATATTCGGCACCTTAGTTGCTTTGTACTTGTTTTTGTTTATCTTATCAATAGAATATTATTGCTCTTTTATTTTATTTAAAAAAATTAACTTGAAAATGGTGTTCGAGCAGTTCAATTATAGAATATAAGAACAAAAAACATTTGGAACTCACATTTGGCATATCGGATTCAGTTTAGTTTTAATATCCTATTATAACTACCAGTTAATGAAGTAACATGTTTAATTGCTGATGATTTATATTGTACCTTCTCAAACTTTAACTCTAGCTAACACCCTAGTACGTTTTCAGTATTTAGAGCCCTTCGATTAGCCTTCCAGCTAGCCTGGCTTTCTACAAATAGGCCCTACTCTATATTATTTGTTTTTTTTCATCATTTATTAGCTTGATGATATATTTTCAATAATTCACTGCTTTGGATTTGGACCTAGTTTTTTTATATAGTTTTTTTTAAATTTATTTATTTACAAAATAGGCCTATTTTATTTTCCATTTATTAATATGCTCATGTTTTATTGCTTCTGCTATCTTACATGAATATACCATATTAAGCTTTGTTCTAACTAAAGATATTGTTTTCATTGCTTTGGAACGTAATTAGTTAGATTAGAAAGTGTGTGGAAAGAGATTATAGTTATAGTTTCACAATTATATACTCTAAAGAAGAAGTTCCTAGTTTGAATCTCTGCCCAAAGTTGGTAATGGATTTAAAAGTAAATTAGCAAGTACTTAGTTATCAATCGTAGCTTTTAATCCCTGCCATAGTATATGTACCTTGTCACTTTGAATGTCTTGATTAACCAATTAACTCATAAATTCATGAATTCTTTATGAGATTATTAATGTATCTAATTAAATTCATGCATTCATCATGTACTACAACATCTCCCCATCATCATTATACCTTTTAGAATTCATTAATTGTTAATTTATTAAATGTTAAGTAGATAATGAAATGTCTTTAATTCTTGTTGATTTTTAAATTTTAATTTTACAAACGATATGATATTTATAAAGTTATTTTCACAAAATTCATCACAAATATGTATAGTTGTCGTTTTTTTTTTTTTGCCATGATAGTTCTCGTATTCATGTTTGTCGAATATGACCTCTTATGATGAAGTGAAGACAACTACCACTAAATCAGTGACAAGTTGGATATGTGCATAATTGATTGATCGATCGTGAAAAATGGCATTTTTCTTTTAAAAAAAATTAGATAACATAAGGATTTAGGGTAGGATATGAAATTATGAAAAAGTATGGGGATGTAACAACAACTTTCCCCTTAGTTCCCCAATCAAATAAACCCAAAAAAAAACAAAAAACAAGTGAAGGAAGCAAAGGTGCATGGTACTTTGAGAAGCCAAAGCCACTCTCAAACTTGTGGCCTTGTCAGGGTTCACTCTCAGATGGGTCAGCCCCAATTGTCCATCATCATTCAGACTCTCACCCCCCCTTTTATAGGCCCCACACCATCCCTCCTCACCCCCACATACATCACCCCCTCCCCTCCTCCCTCTCATTTCTCCTCTCCCAATTTCTCCATTTCCTCCTCTTTTTTCACCACACCCAAAACTACACCTCTCTCTCTCTCTCTCTCTCTCTCTCTCCAAATTTTCATGGACAAGGTTGAGAAGGAGACTCAAGACTTCATGAACGTAGAGTCATTCTCTCAGCTCCCCTTCATACGCCCGGCCCCTCCCGTCAACAAAGAAAAGGGCATCCGCCTCTTTGGCATAGAATTCGGCGCGGACACCCCCACGGAAGACTCCGAATCCCTTGACTACACCAATGCCTGCGAAGACACCCCCGCGAAAGAGTACAACATCAACACCACGACCGGCACCAACAGCAACAACAAAAGCAGCGAAAGCGGAGGTGAGAGCAGCCGGAGATTCGAATGTCACTACTGCTGCCGGAACTTCCCGACCTCCCAAGCCCTCGGGGGCCACCAAAACGCTCACAAGAGAGAGCGGCAGCACGCAAAACGCGAGCACCTCCAGTCGGCCATGGTGCATGCCGGCCACCACGGCCTATCTCACGACGCGCACCACCACGTGTACGGCTTAATGAACTACACAACTTCTAGGCTTGGGGCTTCACCTCACCATCACCATACTGCTTATCCATCTTGGAATAGTAGCCACTCTAGCTCCATTGCTGGTGCTCATCAACATACTAGGTTTTATGGAAGCTCTGGTGGGACGTACGGCACGCAATCAGCGCCCATAAATGGGAGCCCTTTGGCCCTGTGGCGGATCCCTGCAGTTCAGGGTACTACTAACCCTAGTTTCAATCGTGACCGTTCGATGAATTTGTTCGCCGGCGGGGAGGAGATGAAGGCGGCAGGGGTCGGTGGGACGGGCGGTCAAGGGCGGTATGTGTATGATTCGTCAATGGCGAGTGTGCAAGACCATGTGAGTTTGGATCTTCATCTGTAATAAGATTAATGCTGCTATGATTTGGATAACTACTTTAATCAATTAATTAATTAGTACTACTTTAGAGGGAAAAAAAGAGAGAGAGAATTTGATGATGATGATGAGAGAGAAGGGAATTAATTAATTAATTGTTTTAAATATATAATCTCCTGGGATTAATGCAAATGAGGCCAATTTTAGGAAATATTCCTGCTCATAACTTCAGTCACAATTTTTAGTATGGTTTCAGTATGTAAATGAGGAAATCATGTGTTTGGAGAAATCGTCATCAATGTAATTAAAATAATCAGGAAGCAGTACTGTTCTTGATTCTGAAAGCAAAACTTACTGTTTACAGGCAAGGAAATTGCTATTTTTGTGAAGCAAAATTTTCGTTTAGATTTCGTTCCATCAGCAGAGTTGGGTTCATTTCATTCACAGCAATGTCTCTCTCTTCTTTGAGAGAGTATAGTTTAACTTTTGTCCACACGTGTGAGGAATATATGGCATCAGTTAGGAGGTGCATGGACTTTTGTAGATACACACGTGTGGCTATGTCGATGTATTTGTTTGGTTCTCTAGACAGGTGGGGTGATGAGAGAGGTGGATTTTGATTCAGTGTATCACACTGCTGCGCACACACACACACAGAAGAAAGATGATGATCAGGTGATAAGGTTTGATGATAGTGTTCTGTTTTCTGCTGCCTCAAAATATGCAGAAAGAAAATGATATATCCATGGAATTTTGCAGGTTGCATTGCTTCCTGCTACATTTTAATTTATGTATTTTTGCTTATACAGTGCAATTGATTTGAGAGAGAGAGAGAGATTTATCTTGTTTCTATTATGTGAATGATGTGAGCCCATCAAAGTTTTAATTATGTCTTGTTTCTACTTAATGATTGAGGCAGAAACCTCCTTATTCGTGACACCAATGGCTAAGGAGACAGAAAGGCAACTAAATTTACTTTTTTGGACCTTATTTATTTCTACGCAACTATATTTACACTCTAGATTTGTCATTCCGCGCTCCAGATCGATATCTTATTATCTTAAATCACACACGAAAGAAATACATGTGGAACAACAATCCGAGAGTGTGAAAGCCCGATCTTGATCATACTTGGTTGGTAATATAAGAAACAGATTTCAAATAGTTCTGATGGAAAAAATAAAAAGAAAGACAGAAGGCACTGAAAAATCAGAGGCACTATAGTATATAGTTGTACTACTGAGTGAGATCATGAATGGGGGTCATTCAAAAATAAAGTAATAGCATGATAGGCTAGTGAAATACCAAGTTTATGAGGGTCTACAACTAGGGATCCAATATGGAGTCACTTCTATGTGCCTTATTAGAAGCACATTTATCATCATTCAAATGGAGCAGTACCAAAACTTTCATGGCTTTAAAATGGCAAAGCCAACCCTTGGCAAAAGCATGTGCCCTCTTTGCTCTCTATGAACGACCTTGAAGCAAGATATGATCAAGATGGTAGTTAGGCTCCCTTCTTTATTTCCCCTTCTCTTTTGTACCTTTGCTTTAATTTTATGTTTTTGAGAGAGAGAGAGAGAGAGAGAGAGAGAGAGAGAGAGTTGTGGTAGGTGGGTTAATTTGAGGTGTTGGCTGATATAGGTGTGAAATGTCGAGAGTGAAGAGGAGGACAGGAGAGCATGCATTTTTCTCTTTCAACAATAATTCAGTTAGGACTGATGGAGTTTAATCAATCATCTATTACATTGCATGTGTGGGAACACTATATGGGTCAGAGTATTTTTTCTTTGGCTTGATAATGGACTTAGCTCAATGAATCTCATACACAACTCGCACAACTCTCATCTCATCATCATTCAGATGCTATAAAATATTGTTCACTTTCGATGTCGGGATTTGTGTTTTGTCTCAATCTCTTGCCCATAAAGAAAAAAAGGTACTGTTCAACGGCTGTCTCTATTTGTTTGTTCCTATACCACTATTTGCTTGTTTGTTTGTGTGTGTTTTTGTTAATTAACTTACAAAATCCAAGTAATTAAGGCTCTTAATTCATTTTCTCAAAGCTTTGCTTGTGGAACAAGCCAAGTTACTTACTTTTGCAATGTAATCATTAGTTAGTTAACATCATAACTATCACATTACACCACTTTTGTTGCACTAATTTACACTTCAAACAAGTTTTCCATTTCTGGGCAGCAATTTGATCTAAATATAGATTTGCAAAGCTCCAAAGCCAGTCATCCTCAGCAACCAGGAATTGGGAAAATGAGCTGTTCCCAAATTTCAAATTCCAAGTCAGTTTGGTGGAGATTTTGTCTTGAAACCCAGATTGAGAGACTCTTTCAATAACTTCCTATCTAATAATACCCCCTAATTCCATCCATTCTTGGTTTTTCTCTCAGGCAAGCATTGTACAAACTGCCAAAAGAAATACCAAAAGAAAATATTCTTCTGTTTTTTTTTTTTTTTTTGAGTTAGGGGACATACACTCTTTGCCCCTTGAAGCAGGGCTTTGAATAATTTTGGTGTATAGTCCAAATTTAAACCTTGGAAATATAAACCAGTAAAGAAGAGAAAATAGCAACCTGGTGAGGGTATTTAGTTCATCATGTGGGGTTGCAAGCATCAAAAGGGAAATAATAAGAATAAAGCATTAATGAAGTAACCCCTTTCATGTGTCTTAGAGCATGTACTGTTCATATAGCATTAATATCTTTCGTCAAACAGTAACCAATCATGTACTGTTCAATGTTAGTATATTCATTTACCACAAAAAAAATTATAATAAAAAAACTTTCACATGTTTTTCTAGATCAGTGACTTCCATGTTTTTCAGTCATATGTTGTTCTTCGGAAAGATTTTAACGAGGCTCCCTTTTATCATACTAGTTTCTTCTCATGTATTGTTTTTTATGCGTCTAATGAAATATCATCTTTTCTATAAAACAAAAAAAAAACTACATCCCAACTTTTCTCTCTAAAATTACTGTTTAATGAAATTATTTCTTCCTATAATAACCTTGAGCATATTCCTGTCTCATGTAAGGTGGAGGAATCTAAATTACGGATACTAGAAATGGTTAAGATGTTGATTTTGTGCATTAACATCGAAAGTAGGAGTATATATCAAAACATTTCTAACGGAAACATAATTGAAGTAGTTACAAAAGCATCCATGTAATACTTTTAATGAAATATCATCTTTTCTATAAAACAAAAAAAAACTACATCCCAACTTTTCTCTCTAAAATTACTGTTTAATGAAATTATTTCTTCCTATAATAACCTTGAGCATATTCCTGTCTCATGTAAGGTGGAGGAATCTAAATTACGGATACTAGAAATGGTTAAGATGTTGATTTTGTGCATTAACATCGAAAGTAGGAGTATATATCAAAACATTTCTAACGGAAACATAATTGAAGTAGTTACAAAAGCATCCATGTAATACTTTTCTCAGAAAGAATTGAGTGTTTACTTCTTTTAAAAATAAGGTTTTAATGGTTTGAGGAGTCGCCTGACATTATTCAGGACTCTTTTTATTTGATGCTCGTAAAAAAGGTCATGTACCCATATTTATTTTAATGTTCAATAAAATTGCTCTCGTACCGTCGAAGTTTTCTATAAAAACAAATTCCTGTCTCATGTAAGGTGGAGGAATCTAAATTACGGATACTAGAAATGGTTAAGATGTTGATTTTGTGCATTAACATCGAAAGTAGGGAGTATATATCAAAACATTTCTAACGGAAACATAATTGAAGTAGTTACAAAAGCATCCATGTAATACTTTTCTCAGAAAGAATTGAGTGTTTACTTCTTTTAAAAATAAGGTTTTAATGATTTGAGGAGTCGCCTGACATTATTCAGGACTCTTTTTATTTGATGCTTGTAAAAAAGGTCATGTACCCATATTTATTTTAATGTTCAATAAAATTGCTCTCGTACCGTCGAAGTTTTCTATAAAAACAAATAAACAAAATAACAATTTTTTAAAAGGAAAGAAACAAGGGCAAATTTGAGACTATCCCATGTTGAATGTTGTAGAATTGCAAAAAAGAAAAAAGAATGAAAAAAGCAAGTTGCTATCAAATATGAACATAGCAAAAGGGTGCCTCGTTTTACATGAAGAAAAAGAAGGCACCCAAATAAGAAAAACAGTGGTGGCAGAGTTAACGTCAGTCCAACTATGAAAGGGGTCCACAAGTAAATGCAAAATCTAAGGGGGCATGTGATGAGGAGGAAGAAGAAGATGATAAAAGGTATAATAAAGACATTTCAGTCTGAAAGAGAGTACAAACAAACAAACAACCATTGCAATTAGGAAGAAGGACCACTTCTTCTTTCTTCCGCTTCTGCTTCCTTCTTCTGCTTCTGCTTCTGCTTCTGCTTCTGCTTCGCTCTCTCCTCTCCTTGTATTTGTATTTTGTATAAGAAAAATAAAATGAGAGAGAGAGAGAGAGAGAGAGAGAGAGAGAGTGATCCAGTGAGCAGTAGAATTTAAGAAACATCGGCCCACAGCTCTATAAAGCTTGCAAACGAGGTAGACAATTTATACACTGTTGTACCCTTCTCCTCATTTGAATAAATAAAAATAAAACCCTACTTGTCTTCATTGAATAAAATCAAATTCATCATAACTCAAGATGGACACCTTGCAGACGTCCACGTTTTAGTGTCTTTCGTAGAGAAATGTTCTCTTATTAGACTACGCTGACAACACAAGAGGTTTAAATGTGGATCATCAATATGAGTTTGATTCTTACTTGAATGTGTAGTCTGGATTCACGTTACTTTCATATGCCAACATAAATTTGACAAGAGAACATTACTCAACATTACTTTGTTAAACCATCCATGAGAGAGGAGTTATATAATTATCGTTTACATGCATCACTTTGATGTTAAAGTATATGGTAAATTTAAAAATTTAAAATTTGTGTGAGGATATAATAGGGAAAAAATATGAATTCCTAATGGATTAGTTTTCCGGGAATTACAACACCACCTCTCACCCAAGAATTGAATTTCTCCAAAATCAAGAATTCAATTCCTAATTTTGTGTGAACCCTACTTACTTTTTAATTCATTATTGTGAAATAAATGCAAAAATCCTAATGAGAATTCCAATTTCTGATTAATAAACACACCATAAGAGGTAGAATTAGATTGCGCAGTGGAATTATGATTGAATGACTTTTATCCCGTTCATAATAACTATTCTACCCACCAAACGATGCGTTTGGATTTAACCCAAGAGGAGAATTCTACAGTCTACGGTTCCAGGTGAATGGTGGTGATAGGGGTAGATTAGCATTTGCATTAAATGCCAAACAGGCTTGTTGAGCATGTGGTCGCGTCCGTAGGTTCTGTTAGGTGTCAACTCTCTCTCTCTCTCTCTCTCTCAACTCAGCGCCCTGCTGTCTAAGCAATATTACCTTACCCTACCTGTAATAGTTACACAACTCCACACATTCCCACGAAATCAATTCAAAACAATAAAATGTACATTCGAAAGAAGGATGTTACGGTCAGTCGCTCATGTTTGGACGGATCCTTACATGTAAATTCTTGCACTTGATACACCGAGCCTCACACGCATCAACAGTTAAAGATCGCACATGCGGGTGGGCAACTCACTGTGACACAGCCCATGTGCATTCTAGTACCTGGAACTATATTTGCAATGGTAAGTGCACTTATTCTACATCTACGATAACTTCCACGGTAAATAGTTTCGATTTTCAGTTTACTATTTTAACCTCTAAAATATTATTCTTTTGATATTAGTTTTGCTAAAATAAAGGGTATTTTAGTGAGATAAGCTATAAACTTAGAAGAATTGACACTGGCAGCTCAGATTTTTTTCTTGGTCTAAACCAGTAGTATCACCTGGCAGCTCAAGCAAGTCAATAATATCTCATCCAACATCCAACCAAAAGCAATCAACTGCTTTACATTTACTTCAGCAGTAAGTAATCTTTTCATCTTCACCTTTTTGAGGTCCCCATGGTTGGAGAAGTAACTATACCTCCAGGTTTGAACTGTGCTGCTCTAAGTTTATGATGCTTTCTGCTCAAAGCTGAAATTGTCTGTAAGGACAACATATGCCAATTCGTGGCTTGCATACTTCTGTACTTTATGATGCCTCAACTACTTCAAAGGTGGGCCTATGTTTGCTGCTACAAATAGGAACCTATAATGCCTCACCCACAAGCACAACTGGATTTGAACAAATTCCTCAGATTTCACTTGAGCAAAATCACAAGCTATAATAATAGCTAAAGGTAGATCTGTGTCTCAGATTTACAGTTGCTTTCCTCACAGTATAAACACCAATTGTGGTCCTTGCTAATATATTATGACTTTGCCCCTTGAATTCCTGTATCACATTATGCTGTCATTGTCACAATCAATGGGTATGGCATATACTAGCAATCCTTCATGATGAGATTATGTGATGTGATGACAATTTTTCCAATCAATTTTTACCTTTAATTCGTACAAGTCACAAAATAACCAAACTGCGGTCAATGATGTAAAATCATCTGGATAAAGTATTTTTTACTCACTAGGATAGTAAATCAAAGAACAATTGTAACCATAGAGAAACTAGAATTACATGTATATAACATCAATTAAAAAATTGTAGTAGAATCTTTAGTATGTGCACCTGCAAGAAATCATCTGAGTCTTTCTTGCTGAGAGCGGGAACTGTGAGCTTCTTCAATATGTCGAGTGAGAAGTGAAATCCCATAGTGTGAGGCACTTGAGGTGGCATAATAGGAAGTCACAGTGAGTTGAGTAAACCTTGGAAGTGCATAACCTGCAGAATCCCACATTTTCAGGGAATTGAAAAACTTTCATACAGAACTTAAAAAGAAAACCTTCATTGCATACAAAACCTAGAAATCATGTGTATACAGTCCTTTATAAAATGGAGTGGCACATACTGAATCTCGTGTCAACTGATAAACTCAAAACCTAACCCAGATACAAAATTGCAAATTCAATTACTGCTAGTTAAATTAGTCATGGAATTCTATATCTCAAGGTCTTACAACCGAGCACTATGAGATTGGATTGTGAAGGCAGCTTATTGACAGACAAGGTTATACTTGTATTGTACCCAATCTCAAAAGACTATAGAAAGAAGAAGACTCGCATACCAATACAAGATGAACTTCAAACCATTTGGCTCTCACTGTCATGAAACTATGCAAACATGACCTATAATATTACTCCAACAACAATGGTTCTAGCAATGCCACCTGAAGTGTGCAAGATGTAGAACCATATATCATTAACAATTAGTAATTGCCTCTTTTGTAGGCGACAGCTATTCTGAAGCCCCTACTCATGGGATTCAATGACACTGGATTCAACCAATAAGAATTGAATTTTCAATTTGAGGTAGAAGGCTGTTTGCAGTGGTTTAACCCAATCAATGAGAAATTATGGCATGGAGATATATGATCCATGATATCCAGGTGCTTCAGTAACTAGGGCTGGCCCTTTGTAATTGCAAGTCTTTATTTATGTATTATATGGTAGAAACTTCATAACAGTGGAGGTTAATGTTCACGCTACTAATAGTTACAAAATATAAAGGACATCATGTCATTTTGACCATTGACATACACTACTGCTAGAAGTGTAGGCATCCATATGATGCCAGGCCAATAGCCATGCATGGGCACAACCCCACATATGTAACTATCCCGTGGGCAAGTTGAATCAGAAGAACTAGAATGTCATCTTAGATTTACTGAACTTCATAAATTTAAAAAAGTTTAATTGCTTTTGGTCATCATTTACGAAATACAAGTTCTTCAAGAGACCTAATCTACACTAACATTTAAAAAATTTAAAAATAAAATAAAGTCTTTGTCAGCTGTATATGGGGAAACGTCCACTATACCCCTCTTACATTAAACGTTTACCTATCCAAAAACTAAATTCACTGTGGTCATTATACATTACCCTAACTACCCACCATGCCTCCTCATGCTCATTTTTTCGCTTTCTACAACTACTGCCCTCAAATTATATGTGCATCGTGTGTGTGTAAGCCTTCTAGGCTTTTATATATATATATATATATATATATATTAAAAGTGACATACTGATGTCACAATATCATAAAAATGCCAAATGAGACTGAAGTTAAGAACATTGGGAAAAGATATTTAACTCAGGGTCTCAGATATGGAGAAATATATTATATGCATAGAAGGAACTTGGATTAGTCTAAACTAGGTACAACCAAATAAGTCAAGCACTTCTACTTTTATAGTACTTAACCAGTCCGTGGCTGCTAAATGAGCGAACCATTTAATAAACAAAAAACGAAAAGAGCAACAACAAAGAGGAATGTAGAAAGATTCATCACGATCCCACACTAATGTAGACTTCTTTTAATCAAATGGAGAAAGGCAGGAATTTTACCTCCAAATGCAGCACTGGCACCCGAAAACAGTAGCAGTGGAGGAAGCTGTGATTGAAAAAACAAAAGTGAGCTAATTTGATGCACATAAGAATATGAATCTTTTTTTTATAAATGCCAATATAACTTGAAGTGCATGGCAGGTTAAAAGAATGGGAAAACAAACAACAAGGATATGAGACCTACCCCAACTAAGAAAGGAAGCCACTTTGGGCCCTTCAATCGATTCTGAAGGTACGGTATCCCTGCAATCAAGTAACACTAAGCAATTTGCATATGAAAGCCCATAGTCTGCAAGACAAAGGGAATAAAGAATACCTGTATTGAACCCATGAATTGCACTAAGCATTCCACCAATACCAGAGCCAGCCTATTCATACAGAAAATACCACAAAAGGTTAATCACTCGCATAACAAGCCACATCCATATTACCAAGTTTATGTAGACTGTCCAATTAGCATACAGTGAAACATGATCTTTGTATATACACCTAGACCAATGACCCTAACATCACGACTGCTTTCAGGTACTACTTCTATCAAATGAATCAACCGTTCACCATGGGTTTATGCCCCATTATGGAAATTAAGCCAATGTCAATAACATATTGTGATGCAGATTATATTAGATGGTTCCGTAGCTAATACCAATCAAGCACATAAAAACTAGCCAAGGAGCATCGTTAAGATCTCAGAGTTACACATTTAAATGTTGTAAATCTTTAAAGTTCATAAATAAATGCAGCAAAAAAAAACCCCAATTCAAAAAGTGTTCTACTCCAAATTTCCATATCAAAACCATGAAAATTTTCACAACGAAAATAAACTGCTACATCAAGAAACTAAATTTGGCAAGGGAACCAACTTCACACAAATTGGGGAGGAAAAAGAGAGAGACTTACAACAGCAGTGGCGTCATGAAGAACAGAAGTGATGGTCCATTCACCCTTGTCCTGAATATCAAATAAAACAGAGCCAAGTCAGTTCTTCCAACTGTAAAATCCTCAGAATCAAATCCTCAAACAGGTAATCTGCGTTATGGGTTGGTACCGAATCATGGTCCAGGAGGGAGAGACAGCGAGGGCAGCGAGGGGTGCCAAGGCCTGGATTCATGGTGGGATCATGGTGCAAATTCCCACTCCTCAGCTTCTGTTCGTACACCTCTCTCGTCCCCATATTTTTCAACTCCAAGCGGCCAAACCCACGCTCGCACACCAGTTCTAGGTGAAGAAGAAGAAACTGGTTCAGTGCACTGTTCATTAAATAAAACAAAGCCCCTTGGCCCAATATCATATGGGTCACAGTTTCACAAAGCTTTATACAGTAATGGGCTTTCTAATTATGAAACTGGACTTTCTCAAACCTGTATAAAGTAATGGGCTCTCTCGCCAAATGCCACTGATTGGGTGTTGATTTGATGCCATCCGTAATCGTCGATTTTGTTGGTTACAAAAAGATGTCTTGGTGATCTTCAATTTCTCTATTTTTTCGCAAAGATCTTCTTTAAGTGGAGACTTCAAAAATAATTCAGATGATTGAAGTAAAATTTGTGTATGTTTCAAAATTGCATATTACGGAATTATGTGATCATAGACAGCCATGCTTAAAAAATTCAGAGTAATAATAACAATAATGAAAAGGTGGCAACACTTTAGAAAAATCAAACTAAAATGTTCTTAATCCAGAAACACATTTGCTTGGTATGCTTCCGGTTGAATGATGACAATTTCCTCAAATGGAGCTTTTAGCTTGAATCGGTGCTCGAAGGTTACGAATTATTTGGTCATTTTGATGGTTCTCTGGTTCCTCCACCGAAATTTGCTATTCTTACATCAGAGATCACAGCTGCATACAAGGATTAAGCTTTACTGAGTCTATTTAAAAGCCTAAAAATTCAAATATAATAGTAGCATAATAATACACATTGCATTGAAGTTTATATTTTACAAACCTAACAAATACTAATATAGGAATAACGTAAAAGTACACTGCAATTTCTATTCTATAAACCTAAAAACATACCAATGTAAGAGTAACATAAAAGTACACCATGTGTTGCAGTTTCTATTTTATAAACCTAAAAAAATACAAATATAAGAGTAACATAAAAATATACATTGTGTTGTAATTTATATTCTATAAACCTAAAAAAATACCAATATAAGAGTAACGTAAAAGTACACACTATATTGCAATTTAAATTCTATAAACCTAAAAATACTAGTATAAGAGTAATGTAAAAGTACACATTGTGTTGTAGTTTCTATTCTATAAACCTAAAATATAAGAGTAACATAAAAATACACAATGTGTTGAAGTTTTTATCATAAAACCTATATAAAAAAATACCAATATAAGAGCAACAAAAAAAATACACAATGTGTTGTAGTTTTTATTATAAACCTAAAAAAAATATCAATATATAAGATTACAATAAAAGTACACAATGTGTCGCAATTTTTGTTCTATAAACTTTTGATCGTTAATATAAATATTTGTAAATTAACACATATCACGAAAACAAGATTGGTGTAGTGGTTTGCAATTGAAGATTATCCTTTGAGGGTCAAGAGGGTAGCTAAGGTGGTGGTGTCAGGTGGTCGGCAGGCATGGTGGCTGACGACGGTGGGCGGTCGGCCCGCAGCAGTGGCCAGCATAGGTGGATGGTGGGCGGTGGCCGGAGGTGACTCATCGGACATGTGGTGTTATGTGATTAGCTTTAAATAAATTTGTTAAAATATAGGAGTGGTGCAATGTGTGAACTTTTAGAAGGTTTTTTAATTGGATACTATATTTTAGTCATTGACCTTATCTAAGATTATGTGAAATTATATTATCATCTATCACAATATTAAACTTCCTATTGATTTTAAACCAAAGCTCCCTAATGAATGACCGACATAGAGAAAACGTAAATAGTTTTTAAAAATACGTACATTAGTCGTACTTACTAACTAGGGCTTCAAATACTATAAAGACCAACTTAATTCTTTCAGTAAACTAATCAACACACATTGGCAGTTGCTTTACTATAACAATTGATTGCCATTTTCATATTTCTACACCAACCCCCCAAAAACCCAAAGCCCCACCACTTCCACCAACCACACTTTGACCCAAAAAACACCGTGAAGAACATTGTCGAGAGAGAAAACAAAGCAAAGCAGCAAACAAAAAGTCAATAGTGGAAAACAAACACATCATATTCAACAAGAGCATCTCCACTTGTTGCATTGAACTTGAGAGTCCTTGCCTGAACATAGCCACGAGCAAACCGAAAAACCCCACTTCCACCAACAATTGACATCTCTCTCACAGCTTCAACCACCGCGTTTCGACCAAAAACACTAAGGCTGCTCCCATTAAACTTACCTTCAACAAAAGCCAAGTTCATGGTCATCAACAAAGCATCCTCACTTTGTGAAGCAGACCCATAAATCCCTTGTGCTCTTCCCACAAGCTTGGAGCTTTTTTCGGGGCCCACGGTTAATGGGTCATCAAACATGGCTATGGAGCCAAATAGGGTTGGGGATTTTTTGGATGTGGGTGTTTGGGCAACCCAAATGGCAGTAGGGTTTGGACCGCTGACAATGTCATGGAAGTAGAAGTGGAGGTGGCTTAGCTTCTCTTGCTTGTTGAGGCCAAGTGCTTGTAGAGATGGGTTTTGAGAGAAGTTTGGTGATTTTGAAGTGACCATGGTTATGAAGAAGAGAATAGTTAAGGACATGAGGAGGGATTTGGAGTTCTCGGCCATGGTTGGGAAAATGCAATTTGGAAATATTGTGTTGAAGTTTTGTTCTTGTGCTTCTGGCTTTATACAACCTTTTTGTATATTGGGGTAGTGGGTGGACTTTATAGATTATTGAAGGAGGACGTGTAAAGTGAGAGAAAGCAAGTATAGTGGCATTGTCATTGTGACATAATGGTTTCGATAGCTGATAAGCTGTATTCAATTGAGATTTTAAAAGACTATTTAGGATAATAAAAATTTAGGGAATTTAAGTAGAATGTAATGACTTATAGGATTTTATTTAAAGGATTTTTATTATCAAAAATTTTTACTATGAATTTTAAAAGATTTATATTGTATAATGTATAAGATTTGAAAGGATCACGTGGATTTAACAAGCATTCTGAATAGTACAACCAAAACATGTGTACTGCAGATAATATTCCACCCCGAGACCTATAGGCCCCAACTTTTCTACTACCCCAAGACTCCAAAGTGCACTCATATTGCAAACAAGATGAAGAATGCTTATATTAGAAAAGACTGAAGTTATAATCTTCCAATGGTGCCATGCAATGGCAGTTTCATAACTCAAGCCCACATGTGAATGCCCAATGTTTTTCTTCTGTATGTAGAACCAAATTGCACTGCATATTCCTATGAAACAACTTGTGGCTGGCTTTTCCAAGAGCTCAAAAACCAATGGCCTACCCATCTATACCAAACCTTAAACTATATTTCCGAAGGATGCTTCAAGCTCAATCATACAATCTCAATACAACAATTTGAAATTACCTTAAGGATGAGTAAGAATGCCTAGAGAGGGGTGAATATGCCAATTTAAAATTGTAATCAATAAATAAAAATAAACTTCAGTAGCATGATTGATATGGCTTATCAATCCTGAAACGTGCTGAGCGTAAAATAAAGGAACACGCAGAAAATTATTTTACGTGGTAAATCCCCACATCTGGGGAAAATTCACGGGACTCCTCAGTCCAAAACAAATCCACTACAGAACGATGATTACAAGAAGTACTCACACACATACCCTAGACACATTCTAGATAACGTTTACCAACTTCTTTGAAACTCAACTTCTGTCACGAGATGATCTTTCGACACTCCTTATGTTGAACGCAATACTAGTCACGATTACTTCAAGCTCCCCGAAGTTCTTCCAACTCTTCTTATTATGTTGAATTCGATACTGGTCACGATCGATTCAAACTCATCGGAGAAAAACTGCCGCAACGGTCGTCGTGCTCTCAACTGTATAAGTCACCGAACATGCAAATGAATACAATATGAATGATGAAAGTATTTGATAA